TTAGCGAATTTGAGCCAATCAGCGAGCCAGTTTCTCAGAAATAAATTGAGCGGGCGGGAAACAGCTAACCCGCTTGGAGCTCTAACAGACTTATACGGAAAAAAGTGAAAGCCGTTTACAACTCCCTGTAACACCGAATTAGAGCGCAGTTCTTGAGGAGGAGGAGGGAAGGGTACTGGGGGGGGTGAAGTGACCTGGGGGGGGTCACGTGACCTTGGGGGGTCACGTGACAATGCCGATGATGTCATCAGTGAAGTCACTGTGACGTCATCAGTGACGATGGCGATGCGGACTCCGATGACGTCATCAGCGATGATGACGATGACGATGTGGATGTCGGTGACGTCATCAGTGACGTCATCCGTGATGATAATGATGACGATGCGGATGCCGGTGACGTCATCAGTGACGTCACTGATGACGTCATCAGTGATGATGACGATGCGGATGCCGGTGAGGTCATCAGTGACGTCACTGATGACGTCATCAGTGAGGATGACGATGCGGATGCCGGTGACGTCAGCAGTGACGATGACGTCATCGGGAGGTCACATGACCTCGGCGGGGGGGTCACGTTACCCTGGGGGCGGTCACGTGACCTCGGGAACCACGTGACTTTGGGTGTCACGTGACCTTGGGGGTCACTTGACTCTGGGGGAGGGGTCACGTGACCTCTGGGGGTCACGTGACCTCGAGGGGGTCACGTGACTTTGGGTGTCACGTGACCTTGGGGGTCACGTGACCCTAGGGGAGGGGTCACGTGACCTCTGGGGGTCACGTGACATTGTGATGACCTTGGTTACGCCGACGCCGCTCAAGCCGGGAACGGGCCCCTAAGAGCTGCTCTCTAAAATGAAAGAAAGAGTGAAAGCTGTTTACAACTCCCTGTAACACCGAATTAGAGCGCAGCTCTTGAGGAGGAGGAGGGAAAGGTACTGGGGGGGGGGGTGAAGTGACCTGGGGGGGTCACGTGACGATGCCGATGGTGTCATCAGTGACGTCACTGATGACCTCATCAGTGACGATGACGATGCGGACTCCGATGACGTCATCAGCGATGATGACGATGACGATACGGTTGTCGGTGACGTCATCAGTGACGTCACTGATGACGTCATTCGTGATGATGACGATGACGATGCTGATGCCGGTGACGTCACCAGTGACGTCACTGATGACGTCATCAGTGACGATGATGATGCGGATGCCGGTGGGGTCATCAGTGACATCACTGATGACGTCATCAGTGATGATGACGATGACGATGCGGATGCCGGTGACGTCACCAGTGACGATGACGTCATCGGGGACACGTGACCTCGGCGGGGGGGTCACGTGACCCTGGGGGTGGTCACGTGACCTCGGGGGGGGGGGGTCACGTGACCTCGGGGGTCACGTGACTTTGGGTGTCACGTGACCTTGGGGGAGGGGTAACGTGACCTCTGGGGTCACGTGACCTTGGGGTGACCTTGGGGGTCACGTGACCTTGGGATGACCTTGGGGGTCGCGTGACCTTGGGGTGAGCTTGGTTACGCCGACGCCGACGCCGCTCAAGCCGGGAACGGGCCCCTAAGAGCTGCGCTCTAAAAAGTGAAAGCCGTTTACAAATCCCTGTAACACCGAATTGGAGCGCAGCTCTTGAGGAGGAGGAGGGAGGGGTACTGGGGGGGGGGGTCAAGTGACCCGCGGGGTCACGTGACCTTGGGGGGTCACGTGACGATGCCGATGATGCCATCAGTGACGTCACTGATGACGTCACCAGCGATGATGACGATGACGGTGCGGATGTCAGTGACGCCATCAGTGACGTCACTGATGACGTCATCAGTGAGTCACTAATGACGTCATCCGTGGTGATGACGATGACGATGCGGATGCCAGTGACTTAATCAGTGACGTCACTGATGACGTCATCAGTGATGATGGCGATGACGATGCGGATGCCGGAGACGTCATCAGTGACGTCACTGATGACGTCATCAGTGATGATGGCGATGACGATGCGGATGCCGGTGACGTCATCAGTGACATCACTGGTGACGTCGTCAGTGATGATGATGCGGATGCCGGTGACGTCATCAGTGACGATGACGTCATCGGGAAGGTCACGTGGCCTCGAAGGAGGGGGGTCACGTGACTTTGGGGGAGGGGTCACGTGATCTTGGGGTGACCTTGGGATGACCTTGGGGGTCACGTGACCTTGGGGTGACCTTGGTTATGCCAACGCTGACGGCGACGCCGACGCCGACGCCGCTCAAGCCGGGAACGGGCCCCTAAGAGCTGCGCTCTAAAAAGAAGCGTGAAAGCGAAGAACAGGGGGGGAGGGAGGGCTGGCGGTGGCGCCTTTCGCGCAGGCGACGGCCTTTAGTGGTGTTACACGAGAGCGAGCGAAACAAGAAACCAAGAACCAAGCAAACGAAACGAAGGCATGGAGAATACACGCGCGCACAGACTGAGATCTGGGAGCGGGGGACGACTCATAACTCGCAGAGCTCTGATAACTCGTTGACTCGCGCGCCGCCGAAAGATGATCAGTTATTGTTTTCTTATAGTTCGAGGAGCGTTGTTTAGCAGGCGGCCAACCCTGCTGCCTTCCACGTTCATTCGCGCATCTGGGTTTCTTTCGGCATTAAAATAAAGCGAGATTCACTTCTCCCCTCTCTTCTTGCGCTTTCCTCCGACGCTTGTCTTTTTATACTGCATTTTTACGTGTAGGTCCGCCTTTTACTCTGTCTTTGTTCCGATGCTTGTTTTTTGTGTTATATGTTTTACATTCAAGTGGGTTAGGGTTACAAGTAAGCTAGCGGATTCACGCTCATTTCCTTTGACTTTAGCCTCTGCCTGTGTTTCACCTTGCGATGGACCGCTGCGGACGCTAGTCACCCCAGGCGATCCAGCACCGTGAGGGGGACTACACGGACAGCGCGTTGCTGCGCCCCAGGGTCACGCGACACTCGGAACAGAAGGCACTGGATTGGTTTCGATGGCTCTCGTGCTGTCTGTGGCGGTGGATCGTAAGGTGAAGTAGATTGTCGTCACTGCTCTTGTCGCGTGACCGAACTGACCAGACCTGCAGAAAGACAGTTTTGTGACATGGTATATACAGTATCTCGTGCTGGGGGGCGCCGTAGTGGTTGCACTTTGACAGGGGATGTGTTCTCGCCACTGTGTATGGAGTCGCTTTTAGCAGCGTACTAGCCGTATTGCTGTGCAGGTATTTGAAGAATACAGTAATCTAGCTTATTTCTGCGCCACGCACGAACTGGACATTTTTATGGTCTTATCAAACAAACGCGCTGGCCGCGTATGTCTATAGAAAACAAATGCAAAAAGTTTGCCGAAAAAAATTCTGGATTTAAGTTTTTTCTGTTTGTTGCGAGCCACGTGGTCGAAAGACCGATATTTTAAACAAGCATCGACATATCAAGGGACTTTCTCGATGTTTTCAGCACAATTTAAACAAACACTCTGTGCCACCAGCGCTCCGCTTAGTAAAATCAGTGCTTTTTTGAGGAATTTTGCATTTCTTGCAATCGACTATGCGTTTGATAATTGCAGCTTTATGGTGCTTATGCCGGCGATACAATGTAGCTCTCAAGTGCCAATTTTTACGTTTAGGAATTAGAGGAATGGAATGGAGCGATTCAGCCATTCCAGGAGTGGGAATGGGCCCAGTGTCCCCATTCCTAGGAGTTGAAAGGAATGGAATTATCGAAAACTCAAATTCCCGGAATGGAATGGGAATGGAATCCCTACCAAAAAAAACGGTTTAAAAATAAACCGGAATGGATCCGGAATTTCAAACCGTCATATGGGCCCCTAAGCAAACCGGATTTTAGAAACCGTAAAATGAACCGGAAATGCCCAGTCCGGAAACCCAACCGTAATTGGTCGAAGCGGAAGCTGAACCGTATCTGGCCAATCCGTAGAGCTTTACTGGAGTGGGTCTAACCGTATATTAAATTGTATCAGGTAACACCGGAATATAATAGAAATAGTTTAATAGTGACATACCTACTGTTTCACCTTCCGATGTGCTGCAGCTGATGCTAAAGGCCATCCCTTACAAAAATGTCATATCTAGACTTCTAATAAAAAATACAGATATGGATATATAAGGAATTGGGCAGATATGGACCACATATGCATAATCAGACCGTATCTGGATGTATATAGCCATATCTGCCCAATTCCTCATATACCCTGTATAGACTGCTTTATATGATCCCGTGTTTGGGCCTGGAAAATATAGTACTTACCCCATATAAAGCAACTTTCATGTGATGCTCCTTCTAGCATCACATTAAAATTATTGCCATGGGGCAGGTACCATACTTTCAGGTCCAGACAAGGAATCATATAATGCATTTCTATGAATATCCACAAAATATACATTTTACTGCTATCCCACACTGCCAAACGTGTGTTTATATAGATGCATCGACAGAATAGGCCACTGACCAATCTTTATTGGCCTGGTTCGAAATTTGTGTTTCCGACAAATATGTATGCTACAAAGATAACATGCAGGCGATCGCTAGTAAGAATATATGTCAATGGACGTCGGAAAATCACAGCCCTTTGGCGGGATTGGTTGTCGAGGGAGCACAGAGAATATGGTTTGCAAAAAAAGTTTTATACATAAAAGTGCCAAAACTGTAAACAAGCGCTTCGCCGTTCAAGAAAACAAATGGTAATATCACACGGACAACCATTAAAATAAAATAAAAATGTAATAGCACACAGACACCTATTAAAATAAAACAAAAGGAAGGCGACAATTAAGCTGTAAACTATACGAAAGTTCCAAAGTCGTTGATTCTTCCTCACAGGGTCACAGTCCTGATTCAACTCTCCGGTCGAGCACATCAATTTTGACAAGGGCTTGCTTGCTAGCCTCGTCGTTGAAGTCCTTCCTTGCACCGTGCGATGTTCAAAGTCCCCCAGTCGCTCCTCGCTGGCCTTGTTGTTCCGTTCGGTCCCGAAATCATCCCTTGTGATCAACACATCGCACACACACACACGCACAAAGACACCATTGTTCGCCGGAAGCAATACAAGATGGAAAGTTCATTACTGCTCCTTGAACACGACGAGGTCACCACCATTTCCCAGACTAGAAAATGGCGAGGGCATCATATCTTTAATTAAAACTTCAAGATATGATGAACGCATAAGTAACAAAAACACAGACTAAATCACGAGAAAAACATGAAATAATGAACACACAAATAAAAAAGAATAAAAACACGAAGGACTTACACAGACAGCCACATTTGTTCAATTAACAATGAGGTTTCAGTCTGATAAAAAAAAATATTTCTGCTGTGCAAAACGTAACCAATATGGTGAGTAAACTAGGCGACCTTGCGCAAAACAAGAATATTTGTGATCTTATTCAAATGTCATTGCGAACTCAAAACGTGTGGCTACCCTGCCTAGGTCCTTCATATTACTATTCTTCTGAATTCTGTGTTCATTTTGTGGCTGTTCAGAACCAGGCGGAACTTGGTGGTGCTCTTTCCATTCTGAACTTACTTCGGACAGCTCTGTACCCATAGAAAGAAGCACTATCTTCTCTACATAACCCCACCCCTTCTCCTTGGAGATACCCTCCGTGTATGCTGTAATTAGAAAAAAAAAACAAGAATCAGGACACATACACATTATTAGCTACATTGTTTTGCAATAATTTTTCTAAATAGGCCCCTGGCCTAGGACAACACAAGACTTTTTTTTTTCGGGCGACAAAAAGATTTGACACAAACGATTTGGCCCACGTTTTGCTGAACAGCCAAATCCGCACACTTGACAATTGATGCTTATTAAGCAGTGTGCTTTACGTGGGGTGTTTAAGTGCAAAGCATCCAAAGTGTGTGTCCATCTGCATTTGCACAGTATACGGAAGTGGGAAGAATGCGGCCAGATTGCTGTTTTCACTCCTTGCAGCATATAGCTCGAGGATTCTCTAATTTTGCTTATACAGCACGTTTCACCACACAGAACGTACAAACACAAGCTTGGAGGTCGCACACGCAGTCTAAAAAAACGATTACATCGCATTTTTTTCTTTGCACTATAAAACGTGTAATCATAATCATGACATCAATGGGACTACACAAGATTGCATTAAAGTTCCCAATTGGGTTTGTTTTATACCGCACAGCCACTGCCTGTACACAAGTCAACTAGCTCTACACATTCCGCTCAGCACACCACTGCTAGGCTGAATCAGATAAGTCTCACACCTGCCGAGCTTGAAGTACACTCGTGATCTATACGAAGGTGAACAAGCAATCGTCGACTGCTCAGTACTGGGAGCATCATGCAGCAGCTGACTTGCTCTCCTTTTCAAATGTTTTGCGAACCAAGTGTGGTAAGTCGTCTGATAAGGAGAGAACGTCACCACGGATGGAACTGAGCAGTTGACACTCACCTGTTTACCTTCATATCGATCAATTCTCTACCTGGCCGAAGTAGCTAGTCTGTGTGCAGCATAAACGGCTGTATCGAAATCTCAAGAGGACGAAAGTTCAAAACAGGCTTGGTAAGGCTTCACGTTGCAAGTTTGCCCATGCAAATTTCACTTTCTAAAACATCAAAATGCATTTCAAATTGTCACCCAAGACAAGCTGCTCTTACACAGCTGTACATATAAGGCAGCTTACCCATCAACAACCTTTGGAGACTGCCATAGACCTGAACCTCGGCCTAGTCGATGCTAGCGTCTGTTCGGCGAGGGCTGCACTGAGTAGAAAGGTGAAAAATGTGCTGTAGATTATGTGAAACAAACAAGCAAAAGCAATCCTCGCATGCACAATTCGCTAGAGGCACTGACAAATAAAAATCAGAGGTTGGGTCAATTATGTTAACGCAATATACTTCAAACGCGTACCATGAGTGCTGGCAAAATATTTGTTGCCTTCAATCTAGATAAGCTTGTAAATTTACATGCCAAATGACAAATAACTTAAAGGTTGAAATATATTTAGATGGAACTACAAAAACCAAAGACTAGCTCTGCAAATATGGTGCTATCTAGTACACCATAGATGAGTAGAATCGGATTAGAGCGTCCTCCTTACAAAGACTGAAGCAAAACAAGTATAGAGTCTGCAGTGCCACTACAACAGAAACGATAGTATTGTGATCTCGTGGAGATCAGAGTTCGGAATAAGTGTGACAAGCTTTGGCATGACAAATATGCCAATGTTATTATTCATTTTTGCATATTCTACGATGACAGTGCAGGGAAACAATCACACACCAGATACTCAGAAAGACAAGCACACGCGCTAAACTTATAGCGCTTGTGTATTCGACTACTTCATTCTTCTCTTCAACGTCTGGATTGACTTTCCAGAACGTGATAAGCAGAAGAAATAGCACGAAATACAAGGAAAAAAAGCAAAAGACAAGACAAAAGAAAAAAAAGGATAAAGAAAACCCTTACAAATCATCCTTCTTACTCACCACTATTGTTTAGATAGAAATTGAAGCTATTTGGTCGACAGTGCTATAGAGGGACTACTTACACACTTGTCCTTCAGGTGCTCTATTCTTTGCGCTCTCATTATTTCTATCTATCTATTATAAAACAATTTTCAAAATGTGCTACGCAACCACAATCTTGACAGCAGATTCCCAAATGTACAGCGACGACTCGGGGGTTATAAAAATGCTCCCTTAAACGATCATTCAAACACCTGCCAGTCTGGCCTACATACTTCTTACCACACTAGTTATGTAGACCAGACTGGCAGGTGTTTGAATGATCGTTTAAAGGAGCATTTTTATAACACCCACCGAGTCGCCGCTGGACATTTGGGAACCCACTCTCCGGATTGTGGTTGTGTAACACATTTTGAAAATTGTTCCGTAATAGTTAAGAGTCGAGACCCATTGTCAAAAGAAATAATGGAAGCACAAAGAATAGAGCATCTGAAGAACAAGTGGGTAAGTAGTCCTTCTATTGTGTTGTCGACCAAAAAGCTCCAATTTCTAACTTAAGGATAGCAGTGAGGGAGAGGGATGACTTGTAAGGGCTTCCTATTTTCGGTTTTTCTCTTTTTTTTTTTTTTTTGTTCTTTGCTTTTTTTCCTTGTATTTTGTGCTATTCTCCTTATCACGATCTGAAAAGTCAATCTAGACGTCGAAGAGAAGAACGAAGTAGTCGAATACACAAAAGTTGTAAGTTCAGCGCGTGTGCTTGTCTTCCTGAGTGTCTGGTGTGCGAATGTTTCTCCGCGCTGTCACCATAGAATATGGTTCATCAACTTACCCAAGCATCCATTCTATCATTTCTGCAACATTAAAATGACTCTGAAAGTGCGAGCACCTGCGGGGTGTATTCACGCAAGTCTTGCAAGTGCTGAGTTGTAGGTACAGTGCCCTGGTTGTGTCCATCTGCGATATATGACCAAATACCACAAAGACTAACACTGCAAACTTCTCCGAAAACCAATGGGCGCAGTGGCGAGCGGCAAAAGTGGCGCTCTTCACCACTCTCGCCGTTTGTTCGCGTTTGTGTGTTGCTACTAACAAGCGCAGCAATGGGAAGGCTCAGCTATTATTGGGAACACTAAATAAACAAATACAAAATACAGATACAACACACAGCAATACTGGATGCAAGTAGTGACGCACTTCTGTTGGGGTTCTGTGGAGTTGGTGAGCCATTTGAAAGTTGCGACGAGTTGCTCGCTGTAGATGAGCAATTTAGCCAGTGCAGTATGACTGCTAGCCTGGAATCAACCTGCACCACGCAGTAGTGATACACGACCACATGCCGGTACGATGCTTATCTAGATCGAAATAGGCAGGGGTGGGGATTGAACCCAGGATCTCTGGGTTCTGCAGCGCAAGCTTTTGTTCCACGTGCTCCGAGCTGATGTGCGCTAGCCCAGTCGGCCACTGATCCCCAACGCAAGGCAACGCAACATACTTCTGTTGTAAACTCAGCATTCCGCTTACGAATGAAATGCGCAATTTTCCTAAAGGCTTTCATTCCACGTGAGTGGCAACAAAATTGCTAAAGGCCAGCCCATAAATACAGTCTGTGTTGAAAACAATCCTAGCAGAAATAAGTTGCTATTATATTGCTCAATATATAGAGCACCTTACCATGAACAGCCTTGGCAGTCTTCCATCAAGCCAGGACTTCAGCAGGGGAGACTGTCATTTTGTGTCGTCTCAGGTCACTCACATCAGGATGGCGAAAGTGAATGCAAACATCTAATTAAGAAAGGCTGCAGTAAGTATAAAGATGAAAACACAGATTAGAATATATGATAGAAAAACATCATGGACCAACTTGAAAAAAGTGCACGCAGACTGGTGCACATTCGCAACTCGATCTATTGAACACACAAAAAAAAAAAAAATAAGTAAGAGGATGAGAGAAATCAGAAAGGCTGTACTCGGAGAATGTGAGCTTCAGGAACCGGGGCGTGACGCAAAGATGTCAGGTAGATTGTTTTACAGACACTCTAGAATTAGCAACAGCTTTTCCATGTAGTAAAGTGGTGAGTTCAATCGGATTGAACATCTTGAGATATAGCACACAAAAAACAAGGAATAAAGGAGAGGAATACATACACTACATACCGAGTGCAGACTCCCAACACTCATAAATTAGAGAAAAAAAATGCGTTAGGAGCTTTAGCAAAAGTTCAAACAGGTCCAAGTGGGCCATGCTAATTCATCCATATGCATAATACTGTAAAAACAATTTCCTTGGCAGCTCAGGTAACAGACGGATGTGCGGACAAATTGGTCGCCCATACTACGCAAACTAAAAGCCTAAAATAATTCTCTTCTATGTTTTTATAGTATCTGCTAATTATTCACGTTTTTCCTAAGGATGTAAACAGTGCATAGGTAGGTGACAATCCATCGTAGATTTTAGAGAAAAATTTAGCTCTCTTTATGTACTAGCCATCCATTTGTTACCTTCACTAACATGAAAATTGTTTTTTTCTTTTTTTAGTCGGCTCTTGCTAACAGGTAAATCAGCGCGTTCCACTTGGGCCTGTGCTCGAGCCCCTACCACATTTTTATTTCTCCCTTCTCTAATTTATGCGAGTTCATTTTGCGCTTGCATGAGGTCTAAGTGTTACTCTCCCTGTCTCCTTGATTTTTTGCGAACTATTTTTCAAGATGTTCAAGTAGTACCAGCTCACCACCTTACTACAATCATGCAACAACTAAAAACAATTACAACTTACACCATTCGCTAAAGTCAGTACCAAACGAAAAATCAGGGTTAGGGTAAGGTATGTCTAACACTATATACTTATACTCAACAAAATATAGATACCAAAAACTGGCGGGACACTACCTTAATTCAGGACATCCTTGTAAATTTCCCTAGAAGCTTGTAATTAATACTTGATAGCCTCTAAAAAAACAGCAGTATGAAAAGAGTAAATGCTTCAACATTTAAAGCAGTCCGAGTGTTTCTGGAGGTGTGAAATTCGTTGCACGTGCGTTGGATCATACAAAACACGTGCACAGCAAATGATATTTAGAGCTCGAGATTTCGCGAGGTATAAGTGCCGGCGTCAAAACTTATTTCGCGGGCACAAATTTTTGCGATCGAAAGTGGTATGCTATGCTATAATAACCATGGGGTGAATTCATTGCGGCACCAATTTTGGCAATCCTTTTCTGATTACGAATCGCGAAAATGAAATCGTTTGGAGACGACTGGACGGTGGAAGCTACGGGCTTGCTCGATCAATCAATCGCCGCTTTTTGTCGGGTCCGTTTCTCCGCACGCAATGGTGTCGGCAATGGAGGGGCACCGCACCGCGGGCTTCCAGACATTCTAGTTTACCAGCAAACAATACGGCAGAGGGAGGCAATCAACACCCCCCTCCCCCATCCTCTTCCGCCTTTGACCCCCACCCCCCTACTTTCCGTCTCCTAAAGAGTTCCGCCGCTACTGATGGACCTTGAGCGAGTACAGTCTCTGCATCGGGGAAAAAAGAAGAAAAACAGCCTCGCGTAACACCATTTGCGCACAATTAATAATACTGGTAAAAGCAAGCGATCTACAGACAATAACAAGCCTTCTGAACGCAGGAAATAAGCTAGCTCTAACGAACAAAGAAACAAACTTACTTCGGATCCCGTGCCACGATCTTGGCTGTTGAGCTGATTTGACGTAGTACCACGTCTCACAGTCGCTTCCGTCTTTTTCGGACACGTTTGAAACTAAGGCCTACTCCACGGATCACGACTAATGGGGAAAATTTAACCGTTACCCGGTCGTGATCGCAGGCATTCAAACTGTTCAAACGCACACGCCCGATACGCCCGGCAAACCGTGCAAAACAAAAGTGCTAAACATAGGCTGTTGATTCGATTGATTGTTTTCGTATCTTCAAAACGTTTAAGAAAAAAGGATAAGCAAACCACATTATAAAACTTACAAAAAACACAGTAATAATAAATTATTGCGCACGTCAATATTGACATAATATTATGAATAATTCCTGAACACTTCGCAAAATATTAAATACGAAACTATGTGTACCTGTTTCGAAACGAATTTACCAAACATGTATACTTCTAGAAAACGCACGAGTGTAAGTCGGCGCCTGTAGCGCAGTGTGTTAACGCTCTGTCTTCCTGGGCGTGCGGTCGTTGGTTCGAATCTCGGTGGGCACTCTATGAAGCCGCGTAGTTTATGTTAGTTTTTATTATTTTAAATATTTTTTTTTACCTTTTGTATTAGTCTTTATTATTTTTAATATTTTTCCCGCCTTTTTGTATTATTTTTAATATTTTAGATATTTTCCCCACGTTTTTGTAGTAGTTTTTATTATTTTAAATATTTTTTTCTCGCCTTTTTGTAGTAGTTTTTAATATTTTAGATATTTTCCCCACGTTTTTGTATTAGGTTTTATGATTATAAATATTTTCTATGCTTTTGCAGTCGTTGGCACCGTTCTTTAAGGTAATAATCACGTAGAAGGTGAAAAAAAAAAAAAAAAAAGGAGCGACCCAAAGTTTGAACCGTTGCAATGCACAAACCGTGGCCCTCTTGTTTTGCCGGGATAATTCATAACCGTAGGCAAACAGCACAAGTCCTTTCAAAGAAGAAAGCAATGCAATAATAATGAGCATATTGCAAGCAAAATGGGAAAATGTGTAAGTGGTAAAACTGCCGCAGAAATGCAGTCGAAGTTTTTCTGAAAGCGGCCATCTTCACCCACTATTGAATCAAAAATACCGCCATTTTAAGGCTGTAATTTAGTTGAGCTCATAGCGCGCTACGTATTAAGCACATCTCTTAATATTCTTACTTCCGGAAAGTAGTATTTAATTTGTTCTGGTAGGTCAGTGCTATCCCCCGCGTGCCGCCAGGTTTTATTTATACAGGTTGCGCTCCGCAGTTTTACTTTTTATTAGGCCCAGACACGTTTTTATTCCTGAGATTCAAGTACAGCACGGATAATTAAACTAGCTATTAGAAATGGTATCGTTCGGCGTTGTAACAATTATTTTTCGTAGCGTCAAGGGGTCACGTTCACAAACCCAGCAGTGTGAACATCCACAACGCAGTGGTGCTTCTCGCTTTTTTGCGTTAAAAAAAAGTTTTTACATTCGCGTTCCTCTGATACGGTATGTCGTATAACGTAAGCTATCAAAGAGACAGATATCGTTTGGCTATGGGAACATTTGAAATATTTCGGTTAGAATTAGATAATCGTAACTACCACAGAAAACAGTTGATTCCTGCCTGAAATAACATATTTTCACACTCAATTTCGTAGCGTCAACACAGCTCTTACTTTTCTAGTCTCGGAAAAGTAATGTTTATTATTGTTTTTGTAACTGAGAGCGCGTGCTCAATAATGTCAGGTTGTTTTTTTTTCTTTTTTTCGCTCCGTTATACCATTTTTATTTTTTATCAGAGCCAAGCACGTGTGTATACCACTGGACTTTAAGTATAGTACATTAAATTAAACTAGCTTCCTGAAAAAAGTAATGCTCGGCGTTGTGAAATTTATTCTTCGTGGCATAGGCAGTCATATTCTCAAATTCTGGGCAGCAAAGTTTCTTCACCGCATTGTTTTTTCTTACGTTTTCGCGATAAAACACGTCAGACTTGCCATGCTGGGATAAAATACCCTAGCGTCGGTCGTCATTTAGGAAGGATTGATCAAAACAAACATTTCCACTCGCTATTCATGAATTGCCGCAGTTCGCCAGAATCTCAATGTCCTGACTGCATAATGAAAAATTAAAAAAATAAATAAATAAAACAATGCCGGTCAGTAAACGGATCTTCCATGACGGGGCTCGCCAGTTTGAACAGCAAAGCGCCGATGCCGGCCAGTCACTGAACTTCCATTTAAATACTGGCCATCAACGGATATATTAGCTTTCACTTCACAAAATACTTTTAATTTTGTGATTGTTTTCTGTTCACATAAATTCTGGATCACGTTAATATGAAACATACACTTAACACCAATGTCAAACCTCTCACATTTTTTTTTCTTTCTGTGCTGTTACAAAATTGTCAATAGCGGCACGTTGCAGACTAAATTAATACCAGGTTTTCTTTTCCGCCAGCTCTGCATGACGGTAAATTTACATCGTTTCTTCATACTGGCTGCTGCATGTCAGGAACATCGCCGGTTTTGATAGAACCGAATTGGATGGACATATGAGAATTCTAACTTATTAGTTATTACACTGAAGGCGACACACACTGATACATGTAGCGATGTAGGAGTGTGACAGATTTAGAAAAATAGACTTTTTTATTATAAGCACGACCACTGATTTCAACTAAGTATCCTTAATCCTAAAGTTAGATTGAACGGAAATATATTACCAGATGCACCACTCGCTGAAAGTAACTCTTTCAAATTGCCACGATATTTCATAATCCCTCCTCCAGGTCATACGTGAGAAAAACTTTTTTTTTCGGCTAATATTAGTTAAATCCGGTTACCTGTAAATACTTTACGGTTACGGTTACGGTTACGTAGTTTTTTGTCAATTTCAAATAACAATTTTGTTCCGATTATGGTTACTGGAAATTTTTGTTCCTAAATGGTTTTCAGTTTCGGTTACGGTTACAGTTCGAGTCCCTGCTTTGCGTACCTGTATTGATGAAAGCCCTTGAAATTGCCTGCATGTGCA